TGGCTCATACACAAAGGGCGTCTCTCCCTCTCTCTCCGTCAAAGTGAAATCACGCGGTGGTCATTTGTCAAGGAGTTGAGCGGCGCTGGGGTGAGCGCGCCGCGCTACGGAGCCGGCGGCCACCTGAGTTCGATTACCGACTACGGCTGACATACTTCAGTGGCGAATGATACGATAACCGCAGCTGGGCTCCCACCCTCTTCACCAGTTGTTGCTGCTGCTGTTGTTGTTGTTGTTTACAAATACTTTTGTTTACCCGCGAAAACCTCACCGAATCTCGCGACTCCTTTAAGTTTTTTTTCTTCGCAATCCTGGCCGATGATTGCTATTCACATTCCGAATTGAGTAATTTGCGGGTATTCATCTTATTGGTTCTTTTGGTAAAGTCACGCAGAAGGGAAGTAATAAAATAATAAAATAAAACATAATAAAATAATTCTCACGACGTTTCGGCCACAACGCAAGCAGCCGGGTATTGTTTAAAATTAATGGAAAATGTGCACACGTACACCGGCGCACAATGACCTACACTTGCGAATTACGATTATGCACCCGCAGTATTAATTTAGGCGCCCGCTGGATTCGAACCGTGAACCTCTGCCACGACAAGCGGCAAAACGCAAGGTTGCGTCTCGGCCGAATGTTGTGGTGGGGGTTTTTTTTATTTGCTCTCGGTTCGCCTCGCTCTCTTGAGTTGTTGATTAACGCTGGCGACCCGAGTGTTGACTTTCTACAGCTGGCTCCGAATGTACGGATGTGTGTACAGAAATGTGCAAACTTCTTTCGCACCATACGTAGCCAACCGTGCTAATCGGAGGTGCGGGTGGAGCCCAGACGCGCACGTGAGGAGTTGAGTGGAGTTGTGTGTACGGGGGAGCGGTGGCGCATTGCTTAGCGCACTGCGCTACGGACCCGATAACTCGAGTTCGATTCCCGCTCACGAACAATTACAGCGGCGAATATTTGAACCGGTTCTGGGCCTCCCCTAGGTCGACTCAACCTCAAATGAGTATCTGGTGCAGTATGTAAACATGACCGCTAGGGAGACAAAGGCGGCCGGGCGTGCTGCTGGCCCTCGTGTGCCGTGCTGGCCTTTATCGATGCTCGCTCACAGCACTTGCTCCAACAGTCTATGCGGCTGTACGGGGGAGCTGTGTGTAGCTGTGTGTAGCTGTGTGTAGCTGTGTGTAGCTGTGTGGAGAAAGTCTGATCCGTGGGACTGCATTGAAGCGAAATTAGCCTTTAAACCGAGTATGATAATTATTAAAACGTATTATTATTATTATTTATATTATTTGGGTCTTTCGGTAAAGCCACGTAGATAGAACAAATATACGGCATGAATAATACTAAATATCCATTAATAATTAGCATTATTATATTGTTTAGACTTCCGCATTCCTCCCTGGGCACCGTTTCGGTCCGGCATTGGTGCTTGTTTGACAATACTTCACCACGCTGGCCTCAGCGAAGAAATGGGGACGTAGGGTTATCGAGAGGGAATTTCTCTCTCTTCCCGTACTCTTCGCTTGCATCGCCTATCCCAAGAATGGGCGACCGGCGGCTTCGAAGCCGCATGCGGTGGCCCTTTAAGGACCGCCACTGTCTCCTGTTCACCACGCAGTGCATTGGCGGCTCTTGAAATATTGTAGGTTTTTTTGTTGTTGTACCGAATTCGAAATAAAGTCTCTTCTTGTTTGTCTGGTTGCCGACCCCCCGTGGTGTATCCAAGATCGAGGCGAGGTACCGGCACGCCATGCCCGACCCCCACCATCCCTACAGACAGTCTATGGGGGGGGGCTTGGTCCTTGCAGACAGTCTATGGGGGGGGGGCTGGTCCCTACAGACAGTATATGGGGGGCCCTGGTGGTACCGCGAGCTTCCAGCGGGGGGTACGCGCGGGGGGCGCGAACGACGCGGAGGCGCCGTGAATCGCGAGCGGCCACGTGCGTTGAGCGCTTCAAGGGCTTAATGAGCGTGGCCACGTGGTCGCTATTAAGACAATGAGAGGGCACGGTGTAATTGTCGCGCGCGTGTTTACACTGAGCGGGCCCACCCGTTTGATTGCGGCTTTTGATTTAGAAACACCCCCGCCCCCTCCCCAAGCCGACGTGTGAATGTGCGGGGGTGCTGTGGGGAGCGGTGGGACAGCGGTTAGCGCGCTGCGCTACGAACCCGGCGGACCCGAGTTCGATTCCCGCTCAAGGGCAACACCGGTGACGATTATCTGAGCCGGTCCCTGGGCCTCCCCTAAGTCGACTCGGCCTCAAACAAGTAGCTGGTGCTACTCGCTAACAGCGCTTGCCCGGGCGGTTCGTTCCAGGCTGTGTGGATATGTGTAGCTGTGTATTTGTAGAATTGTAATAGATGTGTGTGTGCCTGTGTATATATATGTCTTTGTGTGCTTGTGTATGTGCGATTATATGTTTATGCCTTTATACTGTATAAGCGTGTGGGCAGCGGTTAATGCACGGCGTTACAAACCCGGCCAAGAGTTCGATTCCTCTGTATGGTCACCAACAGTGGGCCACGATGTGAACCAGGTGTAAACATCAGCGCTGAGAAAGACAAAGGCGGCCGCGCGTGGTGCCGCTAGATAAAGGTCGTGCGCCGCATATAGCGCTTGCTACAACAGCACTTGCCCCAACCGTCTGTGTGGGCTACACGGAATAGCTTTATCCTTGTATATGTTGTGTATATGTCTGTGTGTGTCTATGTACGTGTGTATATTTCCCTGTCTATGTTGTTGCTGCGTGCGTGTCATTTTGTATTTGTGTGTACGTTTGCATACATTTCTGTGTGTCTGCATCGATGTCTAGGTGTGTAAACTAGGGAGACAAAGGCGGCCGGGCGTGGTGCTGGCCACCCACCACCTCCTCGTGTGCTGTCGGCCTTCATCGGTGCTACTCACTTTCAGCACTTGCTTCTACAGTCTGTTAACGCTATATGAGGGATCTTTATCGATGTATATATTATATGGATATCGGTAAGTATATATACACACTATAGACACGTCTGTGTGTGCGTTGTAAGGGGTTAGCGCAAAGCTTACGCCTACTGAATTAAGATTAGAGACATGAACATCTTAACGCTTTGACCGAGAATGCTTGCCCCTCCCCTCATCCCCCACGACCACCCCCCCCCATCATCCCCCCCCATTACCCTCCCCATCACCCCCCCATCACCCCCCTCCGCTCCATCACACCGCGTAGCGCAGAGTAAAGCAGCCCCAAGTGCACTGGCTCCGCGTGTCTACTGAGGATCGGTCCCCTCCGCTACCTTGCTCTGTAGGTGCGTGCAGTGGCCGATTCTGGGCCTCCCCTAGGTCGACTCGGCCTCAAATGAGTACCTGGTGCGGGGTGTAGTAAACATCGCCACTGGTGAGACAAAGGCGGCCGGGCGTGGTGTTGACCACCCACCCCCTCGTTTGCCGTTCCGACCTTCAAACCTGCTCGCTAACTTGCCCCAACAGCCTGTGAAAGGCTCTGGATGCTGAGATTAATTTTTGACTCGATATTTTCCGAAACACTTGCTTAGGCTGCCTTGCCCGAGTAGGGATTTATTTTTTTATCGACCTACGGCACTACCACTAGACCTACAAGGAACGTCTAGTGCATAATACACCTATACGATTGTACCTTATGTCTCTATATCCCACCGCACACGTTTATATGAATGTGTAGGGAACATTGGGCGGAGATGAGACGAAGTGGATTTTGCGTGTCCCACATAACTCCCACTGCAGCGATCCGGACTTCCTGAATAGGGCCATGCAAACGGAACGTCGACTTCTCGCTTTTTGCTGTCATGGATAATAGATTTGATAGTGGTTTCACATGCATGTACGTTTGCTTATTTATATACAATTGCATGTACATCCACTCTGATTTGTATGTATCGTGGACTGCGATATACACAACACATGTGTACTTTATAAACACACGCGAAGTATAATGCGTGCATACGCTGTGGCGAACGCACTACCACCCACAACCCCTCACTGGCCACCCCGTTCCTTCCATAAACCCGCACTGACCAGCGTGGTGAAGTATGGTCAAACAATCCTCGTATCCGACAATGCCTGCTGGGCAGGCCGTCAGCAGAAGACTGAGAGAGGAGCAGCAAAGGGTTCATGATTGCAGTCATTTGTCGTGCTGAATATCAGCCGCAGCAGTCCAGGATTACAATAACATGTCACGTGCACCTCACGACTATCACTAACATTGCAGTATTACCGGTAAATGTAGCTTGGCAGTCTAGTGGCAGTGCCTTACGCCGGTAATATCAACAGCAGGGCGGCTTAGCTAGCAGCGTTCGTGAACAAACCGAGTTCGATGAGTCTCTGCGTGCGTGCGTATGGATATGTGTGAACACGTGTGTGTATGTATGGTCCTGGGCCTCTCCTAAGTCGACTCAGCCTGAAATGAGTACCTGGTGCGGTGTGTAAACATCGCCACTGGGGAGACAAAGGCGGACGGGCGTGGTGTTGGCCATCCACCCCCTCGTGTACCGTTCTGGCCTTCATAGATGCTCGCTAACAGCACTTGCCCCTACAGGCTGTTAAGGCTATAGGAGGGATCTTTGTCTTTCTATGTATGGATGTGTGTGAACACGTGTGTGTATGTATGGATGTGTGTGTGTATGTATGGTGGGGAGCGGTAGTGTAGCGGTTGGCGCTATGCTGCGCTACAAACCTGGCGACCCGGGTTCGATTCTCGCTCATGGGCCAACACCGGTGACGATTATCTGAACCGGTTCTGGGCCTCTCCTAGGTCGACTCAGCCTCAAATAAGTACCCAGTGCGATGTGTAAAAATTGCCACTAGGGAGACAAAGGCGGCCGGGCGTGGTGTTGGCCACCCACCCCCTCGTGTTCCGCGCCGGCCTTCATAGTCGCTCGCTAGCAGCGCTTGCCCCAACAGTCTGTTAAGCTACACGGGGGATCTTTATCTTTGTGTGTGTGTGCATGCGCGTGTCGGTAAGTTCGAGAGGACATCTGTGGTCTTTCAACAACTTTATTTGTTCCTCTATGCAACACTCATTTACAAATTTCCGGTCATTACAAACTGACCAAAATAGTTCTTGGATAGAGGATTAACGGGGGGGGAGGGGGGTATTTTCGCATCATTACATACATTACAGAAAAAAGTTTAAAAATCCCAAGACATAATAATTTGACTACCAAACTAAAATAAATGGAATTCACTACAGCTTGATAGGCTATTCATCTCTAGAGCGGGAAAAGAACCAATGCCTTCGTAATTACAATGCGGACGGCAGAAGTGACGGTGATTTTAAATAAATTAGCTCAATAAACGGGAAATTCAGCTCCGGGTCGCGCTGGTGCTGTCTCCAATTTCCGGGCCACTCGACTCCACTGCTCCTCGAAATGCCACGCAGCAATATCGCGTTGCCCACAACTGTTTTTTTCTTTTTAATACATGACACCAACAAAAATAACATATAACGACGACATGAGGCCACTCAAAACTATAAGTACGTGGTTGGAAAAAAAAAATATGGCAACTGAAAACCGGACACAAATGGATTGTCAATTTAAAATGTCAAAATACACTGCGGCAAGCTACATTCTAACAAGATTGACACGAGTGAGTGTGCGAGTGTGTGCGCGTGCGTGCGTGTGTGAGCGTATGCTGCGCAGTGTCGGGGCACGTGTACGAAATCGTCCTTGTAGGAGATAGCTGTGATTCTTCTCGGTAGTTGCGATATCCGGTCCGCACCGCCCATCGCTCGCCACTCGCGAATTCGGAGCCCACGTGCGCGGGAGTTGGTCGCGAACCGCCCCGCTGCGTCGGCAGCGGCCACCCTCGCCCCGGCAACGCCCCGGGTGGCCTCGCCGCGCCTCTCAGAGCACCTGGAACTTCCACGAGGACGGCTGGTCTTTGTAATCCAAACAGTCCGCCGGGTTGAAACCAAACTTCCACGACGCCGCCTGTTCCTTGTAGTCCAGGCAGTCGGGCGAGTTGAAGGGCAGGCCGCCGCCGGCGTACCCGGGCGCCCCCAGCGCCCCCCCGTGCGACGCGGCCGCTTGGCCAATGTGGCCTCCGGCCATCGACGAGGCCATGGGGCTGAGCGTGGCCCCGGCCGCGGGCAGCTGCGGGTGGACGGACGCGGGCAGGTAGGAGCCGCAGTCCACCCCGCCGAAGTACGAGCCCGAGCCCGAGTAGCCGGCGGCCGCGGACGCCTGGCTGTACGCCTGGCTGTAGGTCATGGCGTAGGCGGACGAGCGCTGCATGCAGGAGGCTGCCGTCGTGGTGAGGTGGTCGCCCATGGGCGAGATGGAGGCGGGGCTCCAGATGGCCACGCTGGCGGCCGAGGCTTGCGGTGCCGCGGCGCTGGACGAGGGCGGCGTGTACTGGCTGCTCGCCGTGCTCTCCGAGCTGCTCTCGCGAGGCGGAGTGCTCTTCTTCTTGGCCGCGCGCGCCTTGCTCTGCCCGCCGCTCTGCTGCTGCTGCCGGCACTTGGCGCGGCGGTTCTTGAACCACACCTGCGCGACACACCGCCACACGGGGGACACGGACGCCACGGCCACGCGTTAGAGCGGCGGGGTGAGCGCGCGGTGCGTCGCGACGCGTTTACGGTGGGGCAAGGACGTCGCCATGGAGTCAACATTGGGGGGGTGGGGGGGGAATCTTTCAGGGTGTCTGGGGGTCCCAACCCAGAAAAATATCTAAATTAGAAAATTCATTTCCTGCCTAAAATTTAAAAATTTCACGAACACATGGGATGGACTTTTATTTATTTTTTTACAATAATGTCGAATAGTGTATTGTATTACATTGCTCTGTTTTTACTTATATTTTTACCATTTCTTGTTTCAATGTACATAATTTCAGAGATTAGAGATTAATAAAGTACAACCATAACCACAATCATATGAACAGAAATCTATGCATTGATTTATATGAAGACAAGTCCAGATATTGTGGCCAAGGTTTAGCAAATTATTCTTTTTATTTACATAGCATAGCAATTATTTTTTTTATAGCAATATATTTGGGAGGGGGACATTTTGAGCATATTTGAATATTGGGGGGCATTTGTCCCCCCAATATATATTATAATTACGGCCTTGCTGTGGGGCACCGGCTCCTCTCGGATGGGGTCGGGTGGGGGGCAGTACAGATGTTGTGTGGGGGGGGGGCACCGTTGTGGTGACGGACCGCTAAGGAGGAGAGTGAACCTGTGTGGGCTGCAGGGACATCTGGTGGTGTGGCACACTCCCCCACCACCACCACGACACGTGAGCACGTAGGCAGTCTGCTCAATGCGGAGGGGGAGGCATTGTGTGAGGAGGTGACAACGAGTTTGTGAACGCGACCCTCGTTCCGTGACGATGTCGCCCTTCAAGTAACGGAATGCGTTGATTGGGGGGCACGGTGGTTGTCAAACCTGCGCTACGAACCCTCAGTTCGATGCCCGTTCGTGGTTAACACGACTCTGCAAGCGATACCCGATCACGTCCAAGCACCCACCCACCCCCTTCACCAGTCCGCACTGACCAGCGTGGTGAAGTATGGTCACACAGACGGCAACGACTCATGCTGTATACACAGTGGTGACGCCTTCACCCGCTGGTGGCTAAAGAAAGGCTGCAAGTTACGTTCATGCCGTAGAGATACACTAACGAATAATTAACAAAGCTGTCGGCGGCAACAGAATGGTGCCCGTCCCCGAGAGGAGTCGTGCAGCGAGCGGTGTAGAGGCGGAAGTTGTGTTTGTTTGCATATGTGTCCCGTACACTATGTTGAACTTCTTTCGCACCGTACGCAGCCAACTATGCTAATCGGAAGTGCGTGGAAAAGACCACAAACTAAACGCAAAAAGCCGTTCTAAAGAACGAATTAGTTTTCAATTTAGATGTAAAAGTGCCTAGCTCCAAGTCGCTTCCTAATGTCGGAAAGAAGAGCGTTCCAAATCGCGCGATGCAGTGGCCACCGTCTTTGTTCGATGGCCAGCCAATTGCCATTGCGAGGATAACCCGAGTTGGCGTGGTGATTCATGCTCCCTGACGAAATCTGAAGGGTATTGTGGTTCACTCGTGGCGAGCACTCTGCGTGTGTACTGAGCGCGACCTTCCAATGTATTCGTTCGGCAACCGGAAGGCAACGAAGCTCGGTATTAGTGAACCCAATGCTGCTTGGTGAAGCCCGAGGCTGTTTCAAATTGGTTTTATTGAACCGCGTGATAACTCAATGGACCAGGATAGAGTCTCGATGGCAAAAAGTATACCCGAGTTACCAAAATCACAAAAGCAAAATAACTCAAATAATTGACAACAATACAGCAAAGCGAAATCTGTGCAAAAGCAACGGCGTCACGGGCAATATATTGCAACGAGCGTAGATCGGCGTTAAATCATGAATTGCCTGTCGCGGGCAGAGATTTTTACTTTTCGCCCGAGACATGAAATGCATGCACGGCGACTCTCGCCCCGAGCGAAACGCTTCGCCGAGGCCGCTGAGCGAGCAGCCATTGTGAGGACGCGCGTCGCGACTTTAGTTCATGCCAACGAGGTCGACATTTTGTAACAAACAAACCAACAAAAACCCCTCTGAATATATTTCGCCTCGATAATTAACGTGGCCGCTTAACCGCTCTACCGTTTACAATTGTATGCCGTGACCCGTTTTAAAACCATACATCGGATAGGCGTGCAGTGCTGGGCAGGTGTGTGCGGGGCTGCTTAGATGGGGTCCTCGCCTGTAACATCGGGCACTTCACCAGCACCATTGATTGGTTCAAGCAAAGCCTGACTGCTGATGAGACACGGTAAGTCTAAACCCGTCCGGGTTGTTGCTTGTACTGAATCAAAATGCTGCTGGAACGGCGCCACTCCCCCGTTAGGCCGTGGTCGGGTGATGGAAAGTGTCAACCGGCAAAGTTGATTTTTGCGTTTCGACGTGGAGGGGGACTGGACAACGGAAGATGCATTAATCGTCGTCTTATTGTTGTTCACGTTGTTTAGAGCGTGTCACTCCAGTGACGTCACTAGAGGGCGCTCCTTAAACTCACTTCTTGTTTCATCGCCCAGCCCCCCCCCGCCTAAGTGACGGTGATAACAACCCACGTGGCACACCACGCGATTCTCCGGATGGACGTGTGGCTCACAGCAACAAGAACAACACACATGTTGGCGGGGTTTAAGGAAAGTCTCCAACGATTTCTTTCGTTGGGGTGGGGAGGAGGAGGGGGGCTGATGCGAGGATTCGGCGGAATCCACATTTTCGCCTAAAATTGTGTACGTAAAAATCGATTAACTTTTTTTTATTTAACCAGGTAAGGACCTACTTGAGCTATGTAGCTCTTTTTTAGAAGCGACCTGGCCACGAATGACAACTCAACGAAGTGGCTTATCACGTGGACATTTATAGCAGCTAAATACTCTAAACGCGTGATGTCAATTCTAAATGTGGGGGGGGGAAAACTGGAGGTCATGCGACCACGGGAGATCATGCAAACTACAAATATACAGCAGCAGCAGCAGGCGTCAGCGTCGCGATCGAACCCACGACCCCCTGTATACCAGGCGAGGTAGTTAACATCTCCTAGCCACCGTGATGATGATGAGAGAGAGAGACACGCAAACTCCAAATATACAGCAGCAGGCGTCAGGGTCTAGATCGAACCCACGACCTCCTGTATACCAGGCGAGGTAGTTAACATCTCCTAGCCACCGTGATGATGATGAGAGAGAGAGACACGCAAACTACAAATATACAGCAGCAGGCGTCAGGGTCTGGATAGAACCCACGACCTCCTGTATACCAGGCGAGGTCGTTAACATCTCCTAGCCACCGTGATGATGATGAGAGAGAGACGCGCAAACTCCAAATATACAGCAGGCGTCAGCGTGGCGATCGAACCCACGACCTCCTGTATACCAAGCGAGGTAGTTGACATCTCCTAGCCACCGTGATGATGATGAGAGACTGAGACACGCAAACTCCAAATATACAGCAGCAGGCGTCAGGGTCTGGATCGAACCCACGACCTCCTGTATACCTGGTGAGGTAGCTAACATCTCCTAGCCACCGTGATGATGATGAGAGACTGAGACACGCAAACTCCAAATATACAGCAGCAGGCGTCAGGGTCTGGATCGAACCCACGACCTCCTGTATACCAGGCGAGGTAGTTAACATCTCCTAGCCACCGTAACTCCCGACACGGGAATCTTGCGGATCCAGTGGCGCTCACTCGGAATTCGCCCGAGCTCGGCTAAGCGGGGCTAAGCGGGGCTGAGCCTGTCCCGTGCTGGGAAGGCGACCGCTATGCATGCCAGGCACGGGGTGGGCTTCTGCGGGGCTACATTCTCACAAACTGAAAAGGTCAAATTTGCGCTCGCAGTGAGTTTACTCTGCCGCCAATACCTCATTCGTAACACGGTCGGAAAACTGCGGATTTGCGAGCGCAGTGTTCATAGCAATTGCGCTAATGGGCTCAGAGTGGCGGCGTACAGCAGCAGATGCTGCGTTGTCGAAATCAGCTTGATTAAGCAATTAAACATATTTTTTTCGGCACAGAAAAATCCGTAATGCAAACAAAACCCCATCAGACAGATTAAGTGCGCGTTGTGTGCGCGGTGTGTACGTTATGCAGTTACAGTGCATTATTTAAATGTTTATGCGTGCTTGCAATCCTCCCGGATTATACGCAACGCAACGGTAATCCCAGAAATCGCGATTTTAATCCGAATAAAGTCTCTGCCCGTGTTCGATTCCCTATTCCCATCAAAGCAGCCAACAGCAGCAGCAGCCATCTTCGCGTGGAGGGGCCTCGGTCACGTGGCGACAACTCGACGAACAATGGCCGTGTTGTGTAAATAAATAATGATCATCTATTATTGGCATGAGCAGCACTTGGTCGAGAACGGCGTTCTGCGTCAACTGCACCGCCTCCCATGATGGCACCGCAACGAGATTTGCCTATTGCGGCATTCGCCTCTTGTGTCGAACAGAGGGCCCCCCAGAGTTGAGATGGCATGCTCGCCCCCAAGATCGTGCGGTAATCCAGAAGCATTTCTTTAACGGAGCTCGACTCTGCTGGCTAGAGCCACAAGGTTGGAAATCGGTCCGGAGGTGTTTTTTTTGTGCTCGCGTAAACGAACGCCGCTCGATGATGTTGGTGCGGAAAGCCAACAGGCCGACCGACTCTGAGGGTGTGTTGTGTGTTCTACGTGCGGAGAGACAGAGCGGCGGAGGAGCGCTGCGTATTCACGCGGTTTGCGTTCACCCACCTTGAGCTCGCGTGTCTCAAAGAGCGCTGAGCCTGCTCGTGCTCAGATTGTGCGCGCGCTTTTACTTGGGAGTGGTGGCGCAGCGGTGAGTGCACTGCGCATGTGAAACCGAAAAATCCGCGTACGATTCCCGGCAATGTGAAAATAAAACATCAGTAGCAAGTGTCATGCACGCCCCGAGGTTCACGGTTTGATCGCAGCGGCCGCCCCGATTAATACTGCGGCGTGCGTTTTAACCGCAATAATCCTACTGCGCGCAGTCTGCTTCGCCCACGGTGAACGTTAGAGATCCCCTGACGCCATTCGCAAGATGAGGCCATTGTGTGCCTCCGTCAAAGTTCAAAATCTTCACATTGGAGAATTACACCGCCAAATTTTCCCCAGGTGGGATAATTAAACACAACAACAGCAGCAGCAGCGACGATCGCCCCATCTGCTGGTAGACTCGTGCCCCGGTTCGCCCTGACAAACGAGACTCATCCTGGCCGCTAGAGTTCTCACTACGAGGTTACACAACGCCAACTTGAAACTCGAGCAGCGCTACGACTGCAGGACGAGGAGGTGAGGATAACAATGATGATGATGAGGAGGAGGGGGAGAAGGGTACCTGTACGCGAGACTCGGGCAGGTTGATCTTGAGTGCCACCTCTTCGCGCATGAAGATGTCGGGGTATCGCGTCTTGGAGAAGAGCGCCTCCAAGACGTCGAGCTGGGCGCGCGTGAACGTCGTGCGCTCGCGGCGCTGCTTGCGGTTCGGCCCTGTGGGGGGGGGGGAGGGGGGAGAGAGCCGTCAGTCACCACCTCGTCACTCTTCTACCGCTGCTACTGCTACGACTCCCGTGGTTACTCGACTCGTGAACTCTGCTCATCGTTGAGGACTCTCTACCAGACTGTTCCGTTTCATCCACACCGTGGTCGACCACCACACCGCAGGTCGCGACAACAACAACAACAACAACCGCCTTTCGCCACTAAGTGGCGGTGACTTCACCACAACGCTTGTGTCAGGCCATGTGCACCTTGAGGCCACGTGAAGTGTCGAACGCCCGCGTCGCGACAACACACTCACCCACCTACCCACCCAGCTACCCACCCACTAACCCACCTACTCACTCGCCCACCTACCCACCCACTTACCCACCCACTCACTTACTCACTCGCCTACCCACCCACCTACTTACCCACCCACTCACATACCCACCCACCCACTTACCCACCCACTCACCTACTCACTCGCCCACCTACCCACCCACTTACCCACCCACTCATCCACTCACTCACCCACCTACCCACCCGCTTACCCACCCACTCACCCACTCACCCACTCACCCACTCACCCACCTACCCACCCGCTTACCCACCCACTCACCCACTCACTCACTCGCCCACCTACCCACCCGCTTACCCACCCACTCACCCACTCACTCACCCACCTACCCACCCACTTACCCACCCACTCACCTACTCACTGGCCCATCTACCTACCCACCTACTTACCCACCCACTCACCTACTCACTCACCACTTACCCACCCCCTCACCTACTCACTCACCACTTACTCACCCACCTACCCACCCACTCACCTACTCACTCACCACCTACCCACCCACTCGCCACATTGCAGGTCACAGCACTTCGACGTCTGCTTCTTCCCTCGCACTGCTCCACTTTGAAATTCCCCCCCCCCCATTGTCTATTCACCCAAACTCTTACGAATATAAACTTTAATAGTGCTGTTTGTTGCTGGCAGTTTGGTGCTTTGGACGAGCGGGCCTGTGCCCAGCAACAACAAAAAAACACCGCCCTCTGTGCGCGTTGTTGCATTTGTGTAACGCTACCTGTGATCGCTGCCCCCACTTGGCCCGCGACTTACGGTGGATCAGAGGGGATATGCGGGGGGATATTTGTCTTTGTGTTCACGCGCCGAGTCGGCCAACACCGCTCGCACCAACACCGCTCGCAAGTTCGCGCGTCGAGCTACGAAAGCCGCCCGCCTGCGTTCGACTCTCAGCCACGGATAACAGAACTTGTCCTGCGTCTCCCACTGCAAGTCAATAAATAGGTGACCTGACGCGCTCTGCGCTACATTCATTGAATTCATCCAAGTGTCGACTCGTTCTTAAATGAGCGATTGCTGCGGGGTAAAAGAGTACCGGGGAGACAAAGGCGGCCAGGCCCGGTCCTGTATTAAAAGGTACTTTTGGAAACAGCACTTTGCCAACGTGGGTTATATGGGGTAGCTTTGTCTTTGTGTGTGCGCTGTGTCCAGAGAAGCCTCGCCCAATCTCAAGACTCCTGTTTTAAGGATGGATCCATGCATGGGGCTGTTTGACCACTCCCATGAATGGCGGTGTGCGTGGTGGGAGCACAATGGACGGATGAATGGGGAGCACAGGTGGCACATCTGCCGGTAGCCCGGCAGGGTATCCCATCCCATCTGGGGCTGTCCCATATGACCACCTGCCCGCGGGCTTTTGCCACGTGACCTCAAGGTGCACCAAGCTTGGCCCAAACGCCGTGGTGACGTCACCGCGAGTTTGTGGCGAATTGCTGCCTGTTGTGTGTTTTACGTACGCGGCGTGTATTTGTGTACGAGTGACTTAGTGTGTGAGTGAGTGTGTATGAGTGAGTGGGTTGGTGTGTGTCAGTGGGTTGGTGTGTGTGAGTGTGTTGGTGTGTGTGAGTGGGTTGGTGTGTGTGAGTGAGTGTGTATGTGTGATGTTGGTGTGTTGAGTGGAGTTGGTGTGTGGTGGGTTGGTGTGTGTGAGTGTGTTGGTGTTTGATGAGTTGTGTTTGATTGAGTTGTGTGTGAGTGGGTTGGTGTGTGGTGTGTGTTGGTGTGTATGATGGGTTGTGTGTATGAGTGGTTGTGTGTGTGAGTGGGTTGGTGTGTGTGAGTGTGGTTGGTGTGTGTGAGTGGGTTGGTGTGTGTGATGGGTGGTGTGTTGAGTGTGTGTATGTGGTTGGTGTGTGTGAGTGGGTTGGTGTTGTGAGTGTGTTGGGTGTGTATGAGTGGTTGGTGTGTGTGAGTGGTTGGTGTGTGGAGTGGTTGGTGTGTGTGAGTGTGTTGGTGGTGGTGTGAGTGATTTGGTGTGTTGAGTGGGTTTGTGTGTGAGTGGTTGGTGGTGGTGAGTGTGTTGGTGTGTGTGAGTGGGTTGTGTGTGATGGTGTGTGGTGGGTTTGGTGTGTATGAGTGAGTTGGTGTGTGTGAGTGGGTTGGTGTGTGTGAGTGTGTTGGTGTGTGTGAGTGGGTTGGTGTGTATGAGTGGGTTGGTGTGTGTGAGTGTGTTGGTGTGTGTGAGTGGGTTGGTGTGTGTGAGTGGGTTGGTGTGTATGAGTGGGTTGGTGTGTGTGAGTGTGTTGGTGTGTGTGAGTGGGTTGGTGTGTATGAGTGTGTTGGTGTGTGTGAGTGTGTTGGTGTGTGTGAGTGAGTTGGTGTGTGTGAGTGGGTTGGTGTGTGTGAGTGGGTTGGTGTGTGTGAGTGTGTTGGTGTGTGTGAGTGGGTTGGTGTGTATGAGTGTGTTGGTGTGTGTGAGTGTGTTGGTGTGTGTGAGTGAGTTGGTGTGTGTGAGTGGGTTGGTGTGTGTGAGTGTGTTGGTGTGTGTGAGTGAGTTGGTGTGTGTGAGTGAGTTGGTGTGTGTGAGTGGGTTGGTGTGTGTGAGTGTGTTGGTGTGTGTGAGTGAGTTGGTGTGTGTGAGTGAGTTGGTGTGTGTGAGTGGGTTGGTGTGTATGAGTGTGTTGGTGTGTATGAGTGGGTTAGTGTGTGTGAGTGTGTTGGTGTGTGTGAGTGGGTTGGTGTGTGTGAGTGGGTTGGTGTGTGTGAGTGGGTTGGTGTGTGTGAGTGGGTTGGTGTGTATGAGTGGGTTGGTGTGTATGAGTGGGTTGGTGTGTGTGAGTGGGTTGATGTGTATGAGTGATTGAGTTCATGTTTATGAGTGAGTGGGTTGGTGTGTATCAGTGGGTTGGTGTGTATGAGTGATTGAGTGAGTGTGTATGAGTGGGTTGGAGCGTGTGGACGAGTGTGTCTTTGTGTTGCTCAGGAGCGTTTCAGCGGCGAATATTTGAACCGCTCCCGGTACCCCTCCCTAACCGAGTACCCGGAGCGCTGCGTCAACATCAACACGGGGAGACATTGGCGGCGGTGGTGGCCTCAACTCCCCTTTGTGTGCCCTGCGATGTTGCTCGCACTTGCCCCAGCAGCCTGTTTGGTCTACACGGGGCCTCTTTGCCTTTGTTGCTCTCGGTTCGCGGTGTCGCTTGCGTTCGATTACCGGCCGTGGCGAGTTTCACCAGCACGCATCCTGCACCTGCGTTGGGTCCACTTCGCCTTGCATGAGTCGACTGCTGTAAACCTGCTGGTGCATGGTGGTGGTTGTTGTTGTTGTTGTTGTGTGTTCAGTAGAGTGCAGACGGCGCTGCATTGGCTACACTCGGCTGCGAAAACCTCGCCTCCTCCGCGAGTTCGAGGCATCGTAGTTGTGCTACATTCGGGATGTGCAGCTTCCTCGCTTGCCTATCGGCTTTAGCGTCACACTCCGCTGGAGGCGATTTGCCAGGTTCATTGTTGGGAGTGTTTGTTGTGTTGTTGATGCCAGGAGAGTTACAGAATGATGTGCAGCTCGTGACCGACCCCCTGCCCGAGTTCTGACCCATCAACATCCGCGCCGTCATTTTGGTGGCCCGAAACGATTCCACAACGTTGGCTTTCGAATTGTTATAGTTGTAAGCGCAGATCGGACAAATGTCATGCTTTCTACTCCTTCTAGAACGTTCTCAGGATGTTATTGCATCAGACACTTGCGCATCAAGCGACCACCATCTCCATGTGCGCGTCTTTGTTTTTGTTGGTGTGGGTATCCCCTAGGTTGACTCGGCCTAAAATGAGTACCTGGTGCGGTGTGTAAACATCGCCACTCGTGAGACAAAGGCGGCCGGGCGTGCTGCTGGCCACCCACCCCCTCGTGTGCCACAGTGCCGGCCTTCATAGGTGCTACTCGCTAACAGAACTTGCCCCAAGAGTCTGTGAAGGCTATAAAGGGGGTCTTTGTCTTTGTATGTGAACACACCCAGTGTTTTACAAATACACAACATGCACACAATGTCCTATGTCTTTGTTATAGTTTCGTGTGACCATTAGGGCCACTAAGACTACAGATACGTGACGTTAATCGATATTGTGGACTGAATCGGTGATGTGTTGTAACATTTGTTTTGTAGAAAAAAACATTACAATAAAAAGACGCGTTTTCGTTTAAAACATTTAGCAACCCTTATTATCGAACTATAATCGCATAGAACTATAGTAGTTGTCCATTGCATCCGACTTCCGAAGCCGTCGATCGTCACGTGGTCATCATCTGACGACCGAATTGACGTTGCGGATTCCCCTCTGCGGAGTGAATCAACTCGATCATCCCGCCTGCGGCACTCGCACACTCGCAGATCCTGACGTTCGCCTGACGTTCGCCTGACGTTCGCCTGACGTTCACCTGACGTTCGCCTGACGTTCGACCGACGTTCACTTAACGTTCGCCTGACGTTCGCCTGACGTTCGTCCAACGTTCGCCTGACGTTCGCCTGACGTTCGCCTAACGTTCGCCTGACGTTCGCCTGACGTTCGCCTGACGTTCGCTTAACGTTCGCCTAACGTTCGCCTGACGTTCGCCTGACGTTCGCCTAACGTTCGCCTGACGTTCGCCTGACGTTCGCCTGACGTTCGCTTAACGTTCGCCTAACGTTCGCCTGACGTTCGCCTGACG